TTTTTTAGTACATTAATTCAATAATCAAGCTCCATATGTTGTCCTGTGCATTATGAAAAGAATATAATCAGTACAGATTAAAATATATACATTGTAAGCACACTTTACAGCCAAGAATCAACACTACCAACATAAACACACTGGTGGTGCCTGGTGTGGGAAGTAACTGGTCCTTTATGATTACGCGATCTTCAAATAACTTCTCTCCTCTTTTTCACCACAAGTATTTTAACATTTTTTTTACTATAAGTTAATCATTAGGGGCAAGCATTCAGTTAAGCCAGGAGCTGCTCCTTACTGATCTTTCAATAGCATACTGTACTGATCATGAGTTGTCAGCCATCTCTGGTATTGTTTTAATGTCACCTTTGCACCATTTATAAATTTTTAGTAGTTTAAAAATAGAATTTAGGCAATTAAAAACAATAAAAAAAATAAATACAGTATCTTATGATTTACCTTTAAATGTTGTATTCTTAATGTATGTTAAGGTTGAGTACAATTTATTAGTAGCGAACAATGAAAAAACAAAGGAGTTCTGTTCCTAAGAACACGTCCGTAAAAACGAATCATGCTAATCGAGGAAACCAAACCCGTACTCGTATTATTCTTTTTAAAAACAGAAATACATGACAAGGTCACATAAACTCTGAGATAATCTAGGAAACGCGCGCATAGCTGGATTATTCGGTGGGAGACAGCCGACTTGTTGAAAAAAAAATATATATATATAATATATATATATATATATATATATAGATATATATATATATATAAATATATATAAATATATATATATATATATAAATATAATTATTTTAGAAAAATCACACCTTTTTTTTTAGTTTTTGCCATTGCAAGAATGAACTTCTATAAACAGTCGACCAAATTTATAGCTATTTCACTAATATCACTTCTATTTTTCTCGATTGAGGCACAAGAAACTGTTCCAGAGTCAACTATTCATCTACCCATTAAAGTGACAAAATGGTAAATTTGCCAATTTCACACAAAGTTCAAAATATTCCAGTATCCAAAATAGGTTCCAGAAAAACAATGCAGCATTCCACAATAAAATAACATTCCTCTTTTATTAGTTATGCTTTCAGGCTTTACAGATGAATTCCATTTTGATATTTATTCACATAAAGAATTTTTATTCACACCAAAAATAGAAGATTTACCTTTATGCAACATTGTAATAATTGTATAAATAATATCAGCGCATTCATGAAGGCACATTAGACCCACCAGCTGATGTGTATTGGATGCGTGATGTGATTTGTTTACTCTTTGACATCGGCAAAAATCGAACATTTACGCTACTTTAAGCTCAATTTCAAGTTATTTTCATTACTAAAAACAATCAAAATCATCTCTATTTCTGTAATATATCTTCCATTCTGTCAAATGAGATCAAGAAACCATGAATGCAACCGTAACAACCATACAAAAGTACACTGCAAATATGCTGTTTTAATCAAAACATGGTCACAGTTTTTTTTTCTTGCACTGCATGCTGCAGGATTTGTTTTATATGGTGCACACTTACCAAATAGATGCACGCTCTCATATCCAGGCCCAAATTTACAGCTCACAGCTTACGGTTATAGCTGATTTTCACTATTTTCGAAAAGTAATAAACAAGCGGTTACAGGTTTCTCTCTCCTGACTTGTATTTATGTCATGTGAGACATGACATGGATACATTGATGCCCCTCCCGTCCCTATCACATTTCACCCCATCTCCTGGACCTACCCTCTCTGCTATCTTTCAAACCTTCAATATAACTTCTCCTTTACTCTTACCATCTTTTACCCAGAAGCATAGGCAAGTTCTTATGTCAGGGAATGAATTCGCAAAAATAAGTGCCACCCCAACCTAAATACGTACAATAGACCTTTATATTACATGGATTTATTTGCCATGTTTTGGTTATTACAATTGTGGCATAATTTTATACAACACTTTGTAAAATTAACACAGTTCCGTTTGCGGGTAGGGAAAAAGTTTGGAGCTTCACCTGCGGGATATTTTCCAAGCTCAGGCTGCCAAATGGCTGTGGGTCAGACCATTGTTTCAGCAGGGGAGACCTACCACCATCCCCTGCCACCCATGACACCCCTGTCCCAGCCTTCCGTGCATATGCATCTAGTATGATTCTCTCCTAGGAGTTAGCTGTGTTTGTGAATTGTGTTTTGATCATTTAATTGCCATATCTTGTATCTAATTACACGAATACCACCTGGTGGTTAACACTTACACTCACTCACCCATTTGACCATAAACAGAAATATCAATCTCAATCTCAAAATAATGAATCTTAACTAGTCATAAGTTGGCCTGTGATACTCCAATACTGAAACTATGTATAGTGCCAAAACAAAAGCATTCACATTGCTAAACTCACAAACTAGTATTTAGTCACTTAGCCATAATACCAACTTACCTCATAATTTTGTAATATTTTAAACTTAAGATTTAATTTAAGTCTGCCCGAAATGCCTAGCCATGCTAGGTGTTCTAGTGGTACGCTCTGTAATTATTATTTTACTACATGTAAACCACACAATAACCAAATTCTGTAAACTCAGCATTGTAATCCTTATAGAGAATAAACTTTGAATTTGAATTTGAATTTGAATCTGCTAAGCAGTCATGGCACCCAGTAGGCATATGAATGTTGCTGAAAGTGGCAAGAAAAGGTTTAACCATTGAAGTCTTGGAGTTACGAAGAAAATTGAGATATTAGACAAGCTTAAAAGTGGCTCAAGTGTGGTGGATATAGCAAGAGCTTGTGCCCTTAATTTTTTCACTGTTGGTCACATAATATTACGGCTTGCAAGCCGGTGTCGATCTCGTAATGGTATGCCAAAATTCTACCGGCTTCAAATCTTGCGGGAGAAAGCTGGTAGGCCTGCATATGAGAAAATGGGTCTGAGTGGTCAGTGTGCACAGCATAAAAAAAATCCTGCAGCATGCAGTACATATTGAAAAAAAAAAAAACTCTGTGTGTTTAGTATAAAAAAGCGATTTTGCAGTGTATTTTTGTATGGTATTTACGTATACTTGTATTCTCGTTTTCTTGGTCTCATTTGATAGAATGGAAGGTATATTACAGAAGTGCAGATGATTTTGATTGGTTTCATGATGAAAAGTACAGTTGTACCCCGAGTTTTGTGCTGCTCTCAACTCGAACAATTATGTAATTGTATTATTGTAAAAGCTTTTGTAAGTGTATTTTTGGGGGTCTGAAACGGACTAATCCAATTTACATTATTCCTCATGGAAACAAATTCGTTCAGTCACGGCACTCAAACAGCCTTCTGGAATGAGTAATGTATGAAACTTGGGGTACCACTGTACCTTGAAATTGAGCTCAAAGTAGCGGAAATGTTCAATTTTTGCCGATGTTCAAGAGTAAAGAAATGATATCACTGTCCAGTACGTGTCCAACTGGCCAGTCAAATACGCAGTCATGAATGGGTTGACATTATTTATACTATTATTATAATAATGCAGCAGTCTGCATAACAGTAAATCTATTTTTTGTGAGAATAAAAATTCAAAATGGAAAGCAAGAGTAATATAAGAGGGGACTGGAGACATGACTGATAAACAGAGAAAAAGTTATTTTAGTACCAGGAATGTCTGCCTTGTTTATTCTAGACCCTATTTTGAAATTGGTGTCTGTTGAAATTTGTGTGAAATTGGCCAAACTGCCAATTTCTGACCACTTTATTGGGTAGTTGGAATCAGTAAATGAATGGTGTCTTGTACTCATTTGATAGAACAAATGAAGTTCTAGTGAAATAGCTATGATTTTAGTTGACTGGAACAATGGAAATGGCTGAAAATAGGGCTCCAAGTGGGCGAAATCGCCGTGTAAACATCCCCGAGATCGCTAACTTCGTGAGAGCGTAATTTCGTTAGTTTTCCATCAAACTTAATACTTTTGGTGTCATTACCATCGGGAAAAGATTCTCTATCATTTCATGATAAAAAATTATTTTTTTGAAAATTTTCAACACAGAGAGTGAGTTAACCCGTAAACGGTTCAAGCAGATCTACATTCACATGTGTAGTGCTCCAAAAGTAGATCTACCTTTTTTTTTAAATATTTTCAAATCTTTCTTTCTTTCAACACACCGGCCATATCCCACCGAGGCGGGGTGGCCGTAAAGGAAAAAACAAAAGTTTCTCCTTTCTAATTTAGTAATATATACAGGAGAAGGGGTTACTAGCCCCTTGCTCCGGGCATTTTAGTCGCCTCTTACAACACGCATGGCTTATGGAGGAAGAATTCTGTTCCACTTCCCCATGGAGATAAGAGGAAATAGACAAGAACAAGAACTAGAAAGAAGATAGAAGAAAACCCAGAGGGTTGTGTATATATGTACTTGTACATGTACGTGTAGTGTGACCTAAGTGTAAGTAGAAGTAGCAAGACGTACCTGAAATCTTGCATGTTTATGAGACAGAAAAAAGGACACCAGCAATCCTACCATCATGTAAAACAGTTATAGGCTTTCGTTTTACACTCACTTGGGAGGACGGTAGTACCTCCTGGGCGGTTGCTGTCTACCAACCTACTACCTAGAATATTTTCAAATATAAGAAAAAAAAAACGTAGATCAAAGTTTTTTACACTTTTCAAATGTAAAAAAAAAAAAAAAGATCTACTTTTTTTACATACTATCAAATGTTGAAAAAATGTATATATACGTTTGGACCATTTACAGGTTAAGGATCAGGGGTCTTTGACACTGAAAGGGTCAAGAGCTGATGAGTAATAATAGATGAAATAACCTGTGCACTGTTTTTGCATGTATTTTTATAAATTTCTAAAACATTTTTCTCATGGCTCGCTTCACTCTTTCCAGCAGTAACAGACTTGCTTGCTTCAACAATGTACAGTAGTCCTGTTAATGTGTAAATAAGGACCAGTTACATTTTAGCTTTATGTACATAAGGATTTCCTGTAATTTTAATTTTGCAGACAGTTTACAGTGCAGCTGTTGAGAAATGTATTTCCCATCCTCGAGTTATTGATTTCCTGGGAGACTCGGTGAAAAGCTACGGTGAAGAGAGTCGCCGAGGAAGGAGGCAACACATTAGGTAAGCCAGACTTCATGTGCCAAGGGAAGTGAAGGGGAGTACATTTGTTTTTTATCTTCATTTTGTGACTCATTTTTTTTTTTTTTTTAATTTGACATCTTTATTTTTTCCTAGGTAGTAGGTTGGTAGACAGCAACCGCCCAGGGAGGTACTACCGTCCTGCCAAGTGAGTGTAACACGAAAGCCTGTAATTGTTTTACATGATGGTAGGATTGCTGGTGTCCTTTTTTCTGTCTCATGAACATGCAAAATTTCAGGTACGTCTTGCTACTTCTACTTACACTCAGGTCACACTACACATACATGTACAAGCGTATATATACATACCCCTCTGGGTTTTCTTCGATTTTCTTTCTAGTTCTTGTTCTTGTTTATTTCCTCTTATCTCCATGGGGAAGTGGAACAGAATTCTTCCTCCGTAAGCCATGCGTGTTGTAAGAGGCGACTAAAATGCCGGGAGCAAGGGGCTAGTAACCCCTTCTCCTGTATATATTACTAAATTTGAAAGGAGAAACTCTGGTTTTTTCTTTTGAGCCACCCTGCCTCGTGGGATACGGCCGGTGTGTTGAAAGAAAGAAGATCTTTATTTTTTGCAAGTCTTCTTTGTGAACAGTATTGTGTCTTTTAAAATATGTTTAGCAAGCCCCCTTCTTGTACAGGAAGGTTGGGAAATTCTCATCTAAGTAATCAGTTGCTCAGGCATTGGTACCTGGGATTTTACTGGTAAGATTTGATCCTGTGGTTGAGAAAAAATCATTTATCTTGTTAACTGTATCAATAGGCTGTAGTTGTGTTTTATTCGGTTTAGTTTGGACAATATCCCTAGTTCTTTTCAGTTTGTGGGTGCCCAGAATCTGAGAGAGTGTCTTCCAGTCTTTTTTATATCTCCTCTTGTTTCGGTGAATCTGTTGGAATACAGTGGCACCTTGGTTTTCATGTACCCTAGTTTGTATGTAAAACTATAGTTCTTCTCTATAAAATGTATTTTTTGTTAATATTTCCCATAAGAAATAATGTAAATTTAACTAATCGATTCCAGACACCCAAAAATATTAACAAAAAATACATTTTATAGAGAATAACTATAGTTTTACAGTGGACCCCCGCATAACGATGGCATCACATAGCGATTTTTCCGCATAACGATTACTTTTATCGCAAAATTTTTGCCGCGCATACCGATTAAAAACCCGCTTACCGATTTTCGTCCGAGACGCGTCCAATGTGCCCTCAGCCAGCCTCACATGTGCCGCCCCGTCCCATTGTTTACCAGCCAGCCTCCGCGGTAACATCCAAGCATACACTCGGAATATTTCGTATTATTACAGTATTTTCGGTGCTGTTTCTGGAAAATAAGTGACCATGGGCCCCAAGAAAGCTTCTAGTGCCAACCCTACACCTCAAAGGGTAAGAATTACTATAGAGATGAAGAAAGAGATAATTGATAAGTATGAAAGTGGAGTGCGTATAGCCGACCTAGTCAAGCTGTACAAGAAACCCCAATCAACCATCGCTACTATTGTGGGCACCAGAAAGACAATCAAGGAAGCTGTTCTTGCCAAAGGTTCAACTGTGTTTTCGAAACAAAGATCGCAAGTGATGGAAGATGTTGAGAGACTCTTATTGGTGTGGATAAATGAAAAACAGATAGCAGGAGATAGCATCTCTCAAGCGATCATATGTGAAAAGGCTAGGAAGTTGCATGAGGATTTAATTAAAAAAATGCCTGCAACTAGTGATGATGTGAGTGAATTTAAGGCCAGCAAAGGTTGGTTTGAGAGATTTAAGAAGCGTAGTGGCATCCATAGTGTGATAAGGCATGGTGAGGCTGCCAGTTCGGACCACAAAGCGGCTGAAAAATATGTGCAGGAATTCAAGGAGTACATAGAAACTGAAGGACTGAAACCTGAACAAGTGTTTAATTGTGATGAAACAGGCCTGTTCTGGAAGAAAAATGCCAAGCAGGACCTACATTACTCAGAGGAAAAGGCACTCCCAGGACATAAGCCTATGAAAGACAGGCTTACTTTGTTGATGTGTGCCAATGCTACTGGTGATTGCAAAGTGAAGCCTTTATTAGTGTATCACTCTGAAAACTCCAGAGCGTTCAGGCAAAAGAATGTCCTCAAGGATAATTTGTGTGTGCTGTGGAGGGCAAACAGTAAGGCATGGGTCACTAGGGAATTTTTCTATAACTGGTTACACCATGCATTTGCCCCCAATGTGAAAAATTACCTAACTGAAAAGAAATTAGAACTTAAGTGCCTCCTGGTGTTAGACAATGCCCCTGGTCATCCTACAGACGTGGCAGAGCGACTTTATGGGGACATGAGCTTCATTAAGGTGAAGTTTTTGCCTCCTAATACCACTCCTCTCCTGCAGCCCATGGACCAGCAGGTTATTTCCAACTTCAAGAAACTGTACACAAAAGCTCTGTTTGAAAGGTGCTTTGTAATGACCTCAGAAACTCAACTGACTCTAAGAGAGTTTTGGAGAGATCACTTTAATATCCTCAATTGTGTAAACCTTATAGGTAAGGCTTGGGAGGAAGTGACTAAGAGGACCTTGAACTCTGCTTGGAAGAAACTGTGGCCAGAATGTGTAGACAAAAGGGATTTTGAAGGGTTTGAGGCTAACCCTGAGAATCCTGTGCCAGTTGAGGAATCCATTGTGGCATTGGGAAAGTCCTTGGGGTTGGAGGTTAGTGGGGAGGATGTGGAAGAGTTGGTGGAGGAGGACAATGAAGAACTAACCACTGATGAGCTGATAGATCAACTTCAAGAGCAAGAGGCCAGACCTGAGGAAACTGGTTCAGAGGAGGGGAGAGAGAAATTGAAGAAGTTGCCTACTACAAAGATAAAGGAAATCTGTGCTAAGTGGCTTGAAGTGCAAACCTTCATGGATGAAAATCACCCTCACACAGCTATTGCAAGCCGTGTTGGCAACCTGTACACTGACAATGTTGTGAAACACTTTAGGCAAGTCATAAAGGAACGAGAGGTACAGGCCACTATGGACAGATATCTTGTGCGAAAGAAGTCCAGTGACTCTGAAGCTGGCCCTAGTGGCATTAAAAGAAGAAGGGAAGTAACCCCAGAAAAGGACTTACTACCTCAAGTCCTAATGGAAGGGGATTCCCCTTCTAAACACTAACACACTCTCTCCCCTCCTCCCATCCCATCAATCATCACCAGATCTTCAATAAAAGTAAGTGTCATTTAATTGTGCATGCCTTTTTCAGTTTGTGTGTATTAAAATTAACATTTCATGTGGTAAAAAAAAATTTTTTTCATACTTTTGGGCGTCTTGCACGGATTAATTTTATTTCCATTATTTCTTATGGGGAAAATTCATTCGCATAACGATTATTTCGCATAACGATGAGCCCTCTTGCACGGATTAAAATCGTTAACCGGGGGTCCACTGTATATACAAACAAGGGCATAAGAAAACCGAGGTTCCACTGTAGTACAGTTGCTTAGCTTTTGTTATTAGTTTGGTGAGGACTGATGTGTAGTGTTTAATAATATCTTTGTGTATTAAGCTCTGTCTGTATTGCTTTTCATATTGATGTTCCTTATCAGTGGATCTTAGTATGCTGTTAGTTAGCCATGGGCAACCTAACCATTTATTTGTAACAATGGTCAACAGTTTTTGAAAAGTTGTATGTTTCTTAAATGAGATTAGTTAATTCTTATGTATTTTCATGTCCTGAATCCAAATATCACCTTGAAAAATGCTTATTGGTTTTAGGTTTAAAGATACGAGACATAATATTTGATTATTTTATTTTAACGTACAATATGTGTCAGTATGTTTTAAACTGTAATCCATACCTACTCTCTGCCTTTTTGCTTGATACTTATAGTGGGCTGAAGAATCATATCTTCCCAATGTCCAGCAATAATCTGCAAGTATTCTTTTGCCCCATTTACCCTGGTACCATTTGTCCATGGTTGAAATAACTTGGTGAAACCTTTCACCATGAGTCTGAAATGTGAATTTTAAGTGACATAGTAGATCCCACATTCTTGTAAGCCTTGATGACGGTCACAAAATTTTGAAATCTTCACATCAGCTGCTAGGAGATTCCATTGTTGACAATGAAAGCCTAGCAGCTCTGCCTTATTTTTGGTCAGTTGCAGATGCCTGACAAGGTCATGGAGTTCCTCTTTTATTATGAGAAGTGTAGAGCCCAGTTCTTATCCTGTTCACCAATCTTGCATCCAAATTATAGGTGATATGTATATATATCATAGGTAGTAGGTTGGTAGACAGCAACCGCCCAGGGAAGTACTACCGTCCTGCCAAGTGAGTGTAAAATGAAAGCCTGTAATTGTTTTACATGATGGTAGGATTGCTGGTGTCCTTTTTTCTGTCTCATGAACATGCAAGATTTCAGGAATGTCTTGCTACTTCTACTTACACTTAGGTCACACTACACATACATGTACAAGTACATATATACACAACCCTCTGGGTTTTCTTCTATTTTCTTTCTAGTTCTTATTCTTGTTTATTTCCTCTTATCTCCATGGGGAAGTGGAACAGAATTCTTCCTCCATAAGCCATGCGTGTTGTAAGAGGCTACTGAAATGCCGGGAGCAAAGGGCTAGTAACCTCTTCTCCTGTATATATTACTAAATGTAAAAGGAGAAACTTTTGTTTTTCCTTTTGGGCCACCCCGCCTCGGTGGGATACGGCCGGTGTGTTGAAAGAAAGAAAGAAGTAGGTTGGTAGACAGCAACCGCCCAGGGAGGTACTACCATCCTGCCAAGTGAGTGTAAAACGAAAGCCTGTAATTGTTTTACATGATGGTAGGATTGCTGGTGTCTTTTGTCTGTCTCATAAATATGCAAGATTACAGGTACGTCTTGCTACTTCTACTTACACTTAGGTCACACTACATGCATGTTTATTTATACACACTCATCTGAGTTTTCTTTGATTTTATCTTAGTTCTTGTTCTAATTACTTTTCCTTTTATATCCATGGGGAAG